GCTATTACTCAGCGTTCGTTCCATCGATGCATGATATTCGCGCTCCACTCAATAGCTTACTGCAGAAGAACAGCTCTTGGAACTGGACAAAACAGTGTGACACTGCCTTTTGTAAACTGAAGTCCATTATTAGTTCTGAATTGCTGTTGACACACTACGATCCAGCCATGCCGATCATCGTAGCTGCAGACGCTTCAGCGTATGGCCTAGGCGCTGTTATCTCCCATCAGTTTCCGGATGCGTCGGAAAAAGCCATCATGCATGCAGCCCGTACACTAACCCCAGCAGAAAAAAAATACAGCCAGATAGAAAAAGAAGCGCTTGCACTTGTGTTTGCTGTGCGCCGTTTCCACAAGTTCCTGTACGGTCGGAGATTCACGCTTCTCACAGATCACAAGCCTTTACTCGCAATATTCGGGTCAAAATCTGGCATTCCAGCTCATTCAGCAAATCGCCTTCAGAGATGGGCTTTAGCACTCTTGGGGTATGATTTCGAGATCCAGTACCGACGCACTCAACAATTCGGTCAGGCGGATGCCTTATCACGACTGCTGGGGACTTTCGCTCCGGCAACGTTTCATTTGGTGTTGTTCGATACACGTATAAGAAATTTTGCAACGCGTCTGCTGGCCTCCCTTCCCCTTTTGTTTTAGCCAAGGCTCTTTTAAACGTATCCACAAACCTTTCTGCTTGCCCATTCGACTGCGGGTGGTATGGTGGCGAGCGTAAGTGCTTTATGGCTAGTCGTTGACAGAATGACTGGAATTGGCTGGAGGTGAACTGTGAACCGTTGTTATGTCTCAAAGTGACAGCCGATTATATGACAGTGACTTATCGATCGGATCAAGGATTCAGAATCTCGATAGCCTATTCTGGTCCGTTGTCCCCAACTCTGCTAACTCGATCAAGAAGTCTGGGTAAAGTGTAGAAAGTGTATTCTACAGACAAACAGCAGATAACAAGTCAGGCAGGCAGATCAGATCAAGCATACAAGTCAAGCGTATTTATACAATTATTTACAATCGATAGAAAATTTTTAAACATTAATCATGCGTATTGGCCGCTAATGGATCAACATATAGCAGAATTGGTTGGGAAATGTATGCGGTGTCAGGAAGCGGCAAAAATGAACGCCAAAGTTCCACCAGTTTCATGGCCACAACCTGATCATCCTTGGTCCAGAATACACGTCGACTTTGCAGGCCCGATTAACGGAACCATGTATCTAGTTGTAGTCGACGCCCTTTCGAAATGGCCTGAAATCAACCCTATCATACCACCAACGACAACTAAAACAATACAGATCCTCGCAAAGATTTTCTCCCGAAATGGTATACCAGATGCCATTGTATCTGACAACGGTTCACAGTTCACCTCCAGCCAATTCCAGTCATTCTGTCAACGACTAGCCATAAAGCACTTACGCTCGCCACCATACCACCCGCAGTCGAATGGGCAAGCAGAAAGGTTTGTGGATACGTTTAAAAAGGCCTTGGCTAAAACAAAAGGGGAGGGGAGGCCAGCAGACGCGTTGCAAAATTTCTTATACGTGTATCGAACAACACCAAATGAAACGTTGCCGGAGCGAAAGTCCCCAGCAGAGATCCTAATGGGAAGAAGACTGAAGACGATCCACAGCCTGATGCATCCAAGTAATGCAACTACACCAGTACGGACAAAGTTTGAAAAGCAATCCACGTACGAAGTGGGATGTCCGGTGTTTGCCCGTGATTACAGACCGACCCATAGTACATGGACAGAAGCGCGAGTGGTCAGAAGAGTTGGCCGAGTCATGTACGAAGTTGAGGTAGGTAGTGACAGGTGGCAACGCCATCGGAATCAGTTACGCAAACGGTTAGCCCCAGACCGCCCATCAACAGAATCAAATATTCCTCTTGACATCCTGCTAGACACATTCAACTTACCGGCAACCCCACCAAAAGAAAAACCTCAACAACAAGCTGAAACACGTCACAGACGGTGGCCTATCCGAGAACGGCGAGCAACAGTCAGGATGCAGGTTGACCCCAGGAAAGCCCGCTATTAAAAAGGGGAGGAGTGTTGGGGACGATAGATCCCCAAACTCATATTTTAAATTTTATCTTATCGATCAAATGTTAGATATTTTTATTGGGGTCAATTGATGAACTATCGATTAAATGCGCAAATAGGTCAATTAATGAACTCATTGATTAATGTTTAAAAATTTTCTATGACAATATCGATTGTAAATAATTGTATAAATACGCTTGACTTGTATGCTTGATCTGATCTGCCTGCCTGACTTGTTATCTGCTGTTGCTTGTAGAATATACTTTCTACGCCTTACCAAGACTTCTTGATCGAGTTAGCTGAGTCGAAGACAACGGACCAGAATAGTCTATCGAGTCGCTGAATCATTGATCCTTCGTTCCGTTTCGAGTAAGACGCATCAGTAATCGCATTCAAGCAATAACGAAACATAACTAAATTATTGAAGGGTAACTTAACTGAAAACTTTGTATCATTTTACATAACTCTAACTTTTAATAACTTCACTGACCAATGCTATCTAGACATTATAAAGATAAGATGGTGATTTGAGGTAGTCAGCAGGAAACCCTGGATCCGGGTTTCGTGCTACTTGGCACTCGTCAGCAAGGTGTATCTGTAATCTTAAGAGAACTGGTGCTACACGACGAACTCGGTACCATGTCACCCAGCTTCACAGTCAGAGACGTTACCACTGAGCTATCCAGGCCACGACCGACCTCCTATAGGGCTGAGATGTAATGTAAGTGAAAACTATGATGAGATAAGACGGTGGTCGGAGGTAGTAATAGGACTTGATACACATGACATTGATCACCATCCAGTAATTAAACAATTGTAAGACATTCTTAACCTTATTGTGTTAATTGACGGAGTAACCCGGTGTACTTGATATCTGACGATGCAATCAACAATGATAATTGAATTCTATGAAACATATATTCATCGTGGACACTAAACTAAACAAGTCAACATCATAAAGAACTAAGCAGTATAACACTATTTACTTTCTAATGAATAATAAATCTATTTACTCTATTCTGATACCTGAGAAATTTTACCACCTCTAACTATAAAGATGATTGGCATGAACTCAAGTCTCTAGTCAATAATCAACATAAACATAGCTTACTTACCCCAAACAAGAGTAAGATAGTCATTCATATTTCCAGATTTATGTGAAAGTATAACAAATAAACAAAATCTTCAATGTTTTCAGATAAACACTTGGTTTATTTAATTGTGATGTTTACAGGTAGATTTACTTCAGTGGATAACTCTGCCTGTAGCTCTCCTAGAGTTACTGCCGATCCCAAACCCGGGTAACGACGGGGAGTTGGAAATGGGGTCGGCAAAATAATCACGTAGAAAAAAATCTTGCTAAAAACACGCCAACCAGATTAAACAGATTAAATCATTTAAAATCTGTCCTGGGAGTTGAAGGAGGAATTATGACGCCTCAGGATAAAAGCTGAGATCCTTCGGAAATCACGAGGCTGATACTCCTTCTAACAACCAGTGTAACAATTTTTATAGGTACATGAAACGTCTGAACAGTGTGAGAGACCGGACACAGCTCAGAGAGCCGAGAAGCCAGAGACCGGGAGAACGAGTCAAATAGCCGTGGAAATGAGAAGATACAACTTGACAGTACTCGGATTTCAATGGATGCTTTGGTTATTGTCATAAAAACTTACCGTCCTGAAAATAGGTCCGACTAGTCGGATCCAAATGAAGGCTGTGCGGAAAGTAAAGTTTTTTTCGGTGATTTTTTAAGGTCTGGTTACTGCTTCTGATGCTCTGGCTTGGTTGCTTCTGATTGACTGAATCAAGTCGGTAGTGTAATGGTAGAGAGGACATTAGGAGTTCCCTAGTCAACATCAGCTCTCTGAATCGCATGTGGTTCGCTTGTTGTGTAAGAAATTTTCCTTGAGCATCACCCTTGTAAATGAAGTGATAGACTGTTGTCGCGACATCGGCTACTCAGATAGACCACCATTGTCGAAATCCTCTTACATATACTAAGAACCGTTCAGGGAATAGACGTCTAGTACCCCTAAGCCTCGGTCTATAGTCCATGTTTACTTCTTGTGCATATATCGTATTATACAAATCTGACTACTGATCTAACTACATATAAACTATATTAAAATTAATGTACTTATACATCACTTCGATTTATTTCGGCAGTCAAATAAATCCTTATCACCAATCTTGGTTTCTTATATATCATCGAATTTGATATGCCAATATGAATCATAAGCCAGTTAAACATTTCAGCAGATACAATAATAATACAGAGAGAAATGATGTAAATGAATAATACAGATATAACCCTCAATGACCCATTACGGCCAAGAGTGGAAAGAACAAACTCTCTTCGAAATGCTCTCACATGACCACGTATATACAGCCACTACCACAGAAGTCAAAGTAGGGCTGCTGTTCACAAAATTGAGAGGACAAAAATTGAATATTCGGCGCTTTAACTGGGTTGATGACACAGAGAGTCCACCTAGGGGAATTAGAAAACCCTGATTCCCAACCAATGGTACACATGGGTTGACTCCAAGATCCTTAAGGAACAAATGGCGTATGAATCAACTGTTTATCACTAGCTATCATGAGACTGTATCTCTTAACATTGCTCCAATTCCTTGTGAATTGGATCAAACTTTTAGGTCGAAGGTTCCTGGTATGCTCCCCTAAGAAAATTACCTACTTCGGTTTGAGCAGTATCCCAGTTTTGACATACGTCGAATGATTTATGTGGTGTATATCTAGTTGGTACCTCCTTGTATCAATGTTTATATGTTTAAATAAATAGCCACTGGAAATGATTACCCAAGACAGAGTTGAATGGAGAATGCTGGTTGGCAGTCTATGCTCCTCTACGAAGGGTAACAGATGTAAGTCATAAATAGATATTCAATACTAATTAATACATATTTCATTGAAATATTACTTACAATCTTTCTGATTATTATCATATTCGATGGATTCTCTTTGATTTTCTACATTATCATGAATATGATTTACATCAATATAATCTTCATTATTATTTGTATCATATACAATTATACATGAAGTTGATAAATTTAAAGAACTTTTACATTTATGTTGTAATTGTTTAGATTCATTATGTAAATGACTATTGATTATTTGATGATTTGACGATGATGATGATGTTGACGACGGTGATGATGATGCTGACGGCGACGATGATGATGATGGTTGACTGATATCATTGGATACAAAATCAGAATCTGTTGATGGTGATGATGATGATGATGATGATGATGATGATGATGATGATGATGTAGAGGATGATGGTGATGATGTTTTGACTTTAGTCCAATCATCAACATTATTCACATCATTATTTGTTATTGTTAAATGTTTAGATTTATAATTATGATGAATATATTGATCATTCATATCTAATTTTAATTGATATTGTTCAATATCTGTAGATAAACAATCATCAATATATTCATCTGTTAATTGTTCATTATTCATTGTATAACTACAATTGGAATAACGATGAACTCTTCCATGATTCTTATAATCATAATGATAATTATCATTACTATTATTATTATTTATATCGGAGTCAATATTGTAACTAGATTGACTACGTGAAAGTGGATATACAGTAGGTGAACAAGTAAATGGATATCTTGATCTATTATTATTATTATTATTATTATAAGCTCGTTGACCTTCATGATAATAATGTCGATTGTATGTTCGACCACGTTTACGACCATAATAATTGTAAACGTTACCACCACCACCACCACCACCACCACCTCCATCATTAGTACCGACACCACCACCACCACCACCACCACCAGTTCCAGTACTGCCAGATTGATAAAATTTCATATTATTGTTTCCATAGTAACGTCGACCAAATATATTTTTTTGTACATAACCCTTATCAACGGGTATCACTAAATGATATACAGATTTTTTTTTTTGAAAAAATAATAACATTGAATGAAATTAATATTGACCATAAGATTTAATTGTCAAGGTAACTAATAATATGGGATTTAAAAAGTAGGATAAATCACTTTCAATTTATGTAGTCCAATATGATTAGGTGAATGAAATAAAAGGGAATATATGATCTCAACTATTAAAAAAAAATTCGGCGAGATTCTAATTTCTGGACGAGCTAATCAGAGGCGTTTTAGAGATTCCAAGGTTACGGCACCAATTTCAGTGCTTAATGCTGAAGTACGGTCGATTCACGGGGAATTTTTTTCAAAACGTGATAATCGAGCAGCTATAACAAATAAAATGGTGAGACTATAATTTGTGGACGAATCAATCAGGTATAAGATAATAAATCTCAGATTTTAACGCGAAAGCCTTTCATCCATTTGGCTAAATAAATTTCTGGTATTATAGCTGATGTCAGTTTGTGATGAAAACCCGATATATAATTCCTAACTAATGCAAATTACGACAATTATTGTGAACTGGATAATAAAAGCGCCAGTAACACTGGCTGAAGCCAGGTACTACAATATGTACGGATGAGTGGAGAGCGTACAGACTCCTACATAGGCTTGGTTATGTGCATCATGTCGTTATCCGATATTAGCATTTTGTGCACTCAGCAACCGGAGTGCACACAAACAATATTGAAGCGATATGGTCGAAGCTGAGTTTTTGAGACTTTATCATGGCTCCAAAGGCCGACTATTCTGTAGCCATATAGATGATTTCCTTTACTGCATGTATTGCGATTTAAGAACCTCTTTCTAAACTTGACAAGTTTTTGAACTACGTATAAGAAGTCTATCCACTTTATTTCCTTGGTTTTGTGTAATATATTTTTACTCTATACTGACTGTGTGCTGATTGGCTGATATTTCTCAAGGTGACTTATGATTCGTTCAAAGGTCATCCATAAATAAGAGTCTCACCAAAAATTATTATTATATCCAAAAAACTCCTTCTTATATGAATCAACATATGCTCATTAGTGACTGACTACAAAATAGGTATTTCTTGGATTTCTAGTGAGAAGTAGTGATCAGTGCAGTTCAATTGGATCTGTTGTGAGATAGAGTAACCCACTGATGACAACAGTGGATGTGTTACTGAATTTCGTGGATTAGTTAAAGTTAGACATTAACACCGTTGGATGCCGACCAAGTCAGTAGTCTATTTGATTAAGCGCTCGCGTGCGAGACTGATAGGTACTGGGTTCCAATCTAGCGTTGTGGCAAGTTCTTGGATGCCCACTGCTGAGGGGCCTCATATTAAGACGAAACGGTCATCCAATGCTTCCATGTTTTACTTGGTGTTTTAGTTACAATTGACTCATGATTTAAAGTATTAAAAAATTACTATAATATCCACAAAATCCCTTCTGTTATTTAATATCAGTCATAAAAGTTCTCTTGATGATCTAATGGACAGGCATTATCGGTTGTTGAGGATGAGATAAGTTTTATTCATAAATGATATCAGAAATTGACAAAGGTTGAAGGTATTTATCAATAGTTTCTATTCTTATTGTTGAGATCATGAGTCAATTGAAGCTAGACCACCATGGAAATTGGAAGCACTGGATGGCTGTTTCGTCCTATTGTGAGACTCCCCAGCAGTGTGCATCCACGACCCTGCCTCTTGGGATCCAAACCCAGGACCTATCAGCCTCGCGCCAGGCGTTTAATCAACTAGACCACTGAGCCGGCATCCAACGGTGTTAATGTCTAATCAGAAGACTAAGTTGTATTTAATATTTTTGTCATCTTAAGATACATGAAACGCTGTATGGCACTATCTTAACATGTGTTAAAATATCTTCAGATTGACTTGCGACAACTTAATTACAAATAAACGAAGTTTTATTCTCTGAATTGAATGATTTGGTCATGAAGCTTTTATCATTATTCTGAATAACATCATCAACATAAAACTTCAGATAGTAGTGAAGTGTTCGAATGTTTCCACATGCAGTTCACAGCTTGTCCTGTAGATCTCGATGTTGATTGGTTATTGTTAACATTGAACCTATCATAGTTCACTTCTTTCAATGGACAGATATGTTTATGAATAAAGATCAGACAACTTTTTATGTTCTTTCCTTGAAAATTCTTCTATAGAAATTTCTATTCAGTCTAAAATGATACACCATTGTTGATGCTATCAGTATGTATGTATAGTGTGACTAGAAAAAGTGTTTTCCAGAAAAATCAGTATCATTCAGGAAAAAAAAGGATTTTGGTTGAGATCATTAACTGAACAATGTTAGACCACTACTGATAACCTGGAAGCATTGGACGGCCATTTAGTCCTCTTGTGGGACTAATAATCATCAGCGCACATTCACGATTCTGCCTCGCAAGATTCGAACCCAGGGCCTTCAGTCTTATGTACAAACGCTTACTACCAAAATAAATGAATTAGAATTGATAGATTTCCTAAAACAATGATTATTGTTAACTATGGATTATAATCTTTTAGATTGCCTTAATCTAGTAAAGTCTAGTCACCAGAGTTAACATATAATAACTACAAATATATCTCTTGGCAATAGCTATAAAATAGATAACTTTCAAGATTAAGTACTGATTATGGTAAGACTATCATTTATGGACGACCTTTGAGTGATATTGAACTGACCTTGAGAGTATCCATCTGATAACTAGGACGAAATGACGGTTATAAACCAGGATGAGGAATAAGGATTATGATTTAGAGTTGATAGTTTATAGTGACCTACTTTTATCAAGAGAACGCGACTGGTATAATGGAAACAATTATTATTATTATTATTATTATTATTATTATTATTATTATTATTATTATTATTATAAACAGTTGTACCAGCGATTGTTTTACTGTACTTGTTTATTTAACTGTACTAAAGACTTACCTTCTTCCGTTGACTATGACCTTTCACGCACTCGTGTACTTTAAGTAGTTCCACTAGTAAACTTTGGCACGATCTCAGTATTTTTTTGATACCACCGTCAACTGTCTTCTAGTTTTTGACCTACGAAGGAATCCAGCTTAATAACTGGCACGTAGTTTCAGTGTAATGGTCATCATAGTCAACCGCGACTCGACGCCACGCTACAACGCTACAACTGGTGAGCCCGACAAAATACCGGAAAAATACCGAGATCGTGCCAAAGTTTACAAATGGAACTACTGAGCGTAACCGAGAGCGTGCAAGGTCACAGTCAACGAAAGAAGGTATGTTTTTAGTACAGTTAAATAAACAAGTACAGTAAAACAATCACTGTTACAATTGATTATAATAATAATAATTGTTTCCATTATACCAATCGCGTTCTCTTGATAAAAGTAGGTCACTACAGGTTAAAGTTTAGAATTAGATTAAGCGGGTTTTTCATCACGAACTGAAATCAGTTATAATGCTATGAATCTATTCAGCCAAATGGATGAGTGAATTTCGTGCCAGAATCCGAGACCTATATGTGTGTGTGTGTAGGGGGAGGGTTAATACAGTCATTTGATTCTTAAGTACTTCTCATCCAAAATAAGATGATTTTCTAAAAAAAAACGTAAAGGAATTAATACAAAGCTAAATCTTGTCTAATATTGTTTATTGTAATAAAAGACATGGAAACAATACATTTTGATAACCAAAAAAAAAACAAAAAAAATGACACTCACTTCCCTCATGAATAACTTCTCCACGTATCCAAGGTGTAACAGGTTTATTATCTACATCAAAATTTAGTCGATTAGAATGTGATGTATAGTCTGTTTTATGTAAGGTTGGAGATGTACAATTGGAATATCGACCATAGTTGGAGACCATTTTCTCTTCAGTGTTGATGTAGATAGATAGATAGATAGATAAACTTATTCTGAAATAAAAGTTAATGCATTTGTTAAGTATATATTGAATGAATTGTAGTTAATATTAATGAACCAATAATTCAGTATGTTTTTTGATTAAGATTATAAACCGATTGATGTTAGACCACTATTGAAAATCTGGAAGCATTGGATAGCCTTTTCGTCCTATTGTAGGACTCCTCAGCCGATTCAGTGGTCTAGAGGTTAAGCATTCCTGTGCGAGACTAAACGCCTTGGGTTCGAATCCCGTGAACGGGATTGTGGATACACACTGTTGAGGAGTTGTACAATGGGACGAAATGATCGTCCAGTACTTCGAGGTTTTCAATGATAGTCTAATATCAATCGGCCCATGATCTCAATCAAAAACTTAATAATCTCCACAACTCTATACTGTTAATTCAGTATGTGTATATAATTTACAAAATCAATAGATTAATTACTTTCAGCAACAAATATTGTGGTGTATTCTGCTGATGTTGACAGATATATGTAGTATGTATCAGTAATCAAAAGTGAAATGCGGCAGAAAGTTAAGAAGATCAAACAGAAGAGAACGAGAACAAAGAATGATTTGTGTGGAAACGAAGGAATAATAAAGTCTCAGACGATTGATTGACATTTTACAAATGAAGAATTTACTATATGATTCACAGATTTTACTAAGACATTTTGTATTTTTGTATTCAAGTACATTCGATTGTCTCCACATGTGTTGTCGTTCACTACAATATGACTAAATTGCTGAGTTCACAACTGATTGATCACTGAGTGGTGATCAATGTCATATGTGTCAAGTCATTCTTAGTGCAGATCGGATGCTATCGACCAAGTTGTAATGTGGCCACTAGTCTAGGTGACTCAATATTGCGTGCACTATGTTGAGATAAGATGACGGTTGGAGGTAGTTAACAAGAAACCCTAGACCTGGGTTTTGTTCTACTTGGCACTCGTCAGCAAGGTGTACCTGTACCTATGAAGCTGTGATCGAGTCCGTTGGGGAGCACCAGTCCTCTCAAGATAACAGGTACACCTTGCTGACAAGTGCCAAATGGCACAAAACCCTGGTCCAGGGTTTCTTATTGACTACCTCCAACCACCATCTAATTGCTGAGTTATATTTCCCTAATATTAGGGAGAATAAATATTTTCATATTGTTTAGGCTGAAGCTAACGAATCAATTTACTACTCATGGTTCGTTTTACTTGAGATTCGTCAACTAGATGAAAATTTATTCACAATGTTAATGTTCATACTTCAACTTGAACTCAATATTAATCTGTTTAAACAACAAATTATCATTGTGTTCAATTGCATTGTTTTCTCTGTTCATGGTAATATGGAATGAATTTGACGCGTCAACCTCGTCATATGCTCATCATCAGTAGATACTTTGTTACTTCCAATACTGTATTATACATATATGTAAATGACATGTTCCAGAGTGAAATACACGTTCCATTCTGAATATAACAAGTTAAGAATGTATACACAAGTAAAGATATATGTTTTCTAATTAAAGTTACCTATTTATTATTTGTTATTACGTAACAGTTTTACACTAACCCTAATATGGTTTATTTATGGTAACTTCATTAATTAGTTATTGATCCAGTCTCAGAATGAGTAAATGGTCTGAAGGAAGAATTTATCACATTACCAAATATACTACTTATATTGTAAACATGAGTAACGATATTTCTAATTATAATATATTAGTTTGTAGTGACCTACTTTTATCAAGAGAACGCGATTGGTATAATGGAAACAATTATTATTAGAACCGATTGTGCCAGTGATTGTTTTACTGTACTCGTTTCTTTAACTGTACCAAAACACATACATTCTTCCGTTGATTGTGACCTTGCACGCTCTCGGTTACGCTCAGTAACCATACTTGTAACCTGGCACGATCTCGGTATTCTTCCGATACCACGAGATCGCCAACAAATACATCTCGACTACAGCCATCAACTGCCTTCTGATATTTGGCCTACGGGGATCTTATCGGTTCACTGGCACGTAGACTTCTTGCAGTGGTGGCCATAGTCAACCGCGACTCGACGCCGCACAACAACTGGTGAGCCCGACGTGATTCGAACACGCAACCTTCTGGTGACTATCACTACAAGATAATTAAACTTTGAACATTTTGAACAAGGTTGTCAGGATAGAGTAATTCAGTATTCGTGGAATAATTTTTTAAAAAATCACTAGTAATATTATTCGACAGATCAATGAAAGTCTTCCAATTACATTAGGTAATCATTCCAAATATTTCCCTAAGTTTTTATGAATCATAACGAAAGATGTTGCTGATCACTGCAAAAAATTTTACAAAAACTAATACAACTATTAAAACAGAACACTAAAAATTAACCAGTAGAGTTACGTGGATACAAGAGAAAAGAAGTGTAGTGTTACCAGACTAATGAAATTCAGACTTATTTGTTATTGTTAGTTTGAGTCTTTCGACATTTGGGTGATGAGTCCCAAATACGATGAAACGCGAGTCCTAGATTCCTTTGCTAGTCACTATCTATATTTGCTTATAATGATTGTGAACTAAAGCAATATCGAGGCGGGATGCACATATGCCAATAAGTGACTGACTGATCAAATACAGTCCTAAATAAAAATGAGAAGATTCAAACAAATAATACCAAATGAATATAAACTTCACCGGATTGCACAAGCAAGTGGCTATCAGGACTCAGTAGTTTAATGGATAACGCGATGGCGTTTGAAGTGATCGGTACTGGGTTCAAGTCATAGGGTGAACTTCAACTCTGAAATGCAGGTACATTCAGCTGACGACTCTCAAATAGGACGGAACATGTATCAAACTGGATTCCACTGCTAGTCACCATTCACCTTTATTAAAATTCAGTATAAAACTAAAGAATATGCTCATATAAAGTATCTATGCCTATTGATTTTAACTAAAGTTTCTGGTCATTAACTTTTAACTGCATTACGATCCCAGCATAAATGGAAATACTTAAATATCTTAAACTAAATTTTGTAAATTGATATCCTTATTTCGGTTTCATTTTAACCACACCTAGGTGTGGTTGAAAAGGCGTTAACTAAAAATGTTCGTTAAAATTTAATCTTTTCAGCTGACATTAAACCTTCTTATTAGTTAACATGGACTGTTAATAATATCTTTTTGATCGACTCTGTAACCTGATCAAAAGAAATCATTTCCATTATAATCTTCCAGGACAACAGAAAATTAAAAAAAAGATTTATTGGACAAGTTTTGGACCATCACAACATTTTATAATGACATCTGCGGATGAAAGAAAAGTAGTGAAGGAAAACACTTAAAGCAATAACAGTATCAATGCAGTGAACGAATTATCCAAGTAGGGTAGTCCAGTATATTGTTCAATCAATCAGTGATTTTACTTCATAATAAAAAAACGGATAGAAGTTAGCTGCTAAATAGTACAACGAAGATCACATACTATCTGTCGAAGGTATTTCAACTCAGTAATCGTAAACACTTGTTTCCACTTTTGTCTTAAGTTTATTTACATCAAAAATCTCAATCAAAATGATGAATACAGTTGGAGTTAGACATTAACACCGTTGGATGCCGACCGGCTTAGTGGTCTAGAGGTCAAGTGGTCGCGTGCAAAACTGATAGATCCTGGGTTTGAATCTTGCGAGGCGGGATCGTGGATGCGCACTGCTATGGGGTTTCACAGTCGGACGAATAGGCCGTCCAGTGCTTCCAGGTTTTCCATGATGGTCTAACCTTAACTGACTCATGATCTTAATTATTAAAAATACAGAGAAGTTTTAAAATAAGATTTTAGTTTTTAAAAAAGGATTTATTGTCCAAATTAATGCTAACCCCTTTCACCGAATTTCAGCAACTCAATAGATCATCCCTTTGACCCGCATCGCTTTTTGAGAGAGCTGAAGTATTGTATTTAGTTTTTTTAATTCATGAAACAATAAAGTAAATCGATTTGAATTATTATACTTCTTCTGCTAGTTAGTCTGAAGGAAACTGTGCGTTTTAGTCCCACGTTAGTTAGCACTTATTATCGAATTGTATCTACAGTAATGAAGGAATCAATGCTCCGTGTAGGACTTGAATCCAAGTCACTTAGCTTCATATTCTTATATATGAAGGTCTAGAGTATCCTTTCGCATACCCTCATCTACATAACATCAAAATAATGTACATGGTTGGTGAGGTTACTCACACCAGTGTTCACATTAAACCTTCATCATTTTATTATAAGTATGTAGCGTGGTGTCGAGTTGAGGTTAACTATGAACACCGCTACCAAGAAACACGTGCCAAATAAATCAGAAGGCGAAGGTTGGACGTAACCAAATAGATCCATAAAATCTTCGAGAAGCCAAATATCAGAAGGCAATTAATGGACCAAGTCGATGTTTATTTGCTGGCGATCTCGTGGCATCGAAAGGATACCGAGATCGTGCCAGGATACAAGCTTGGTTACAGAAGGTAACCGAATTCGCGCGAAGTTACAATCGAAGTGTAAGTACAAGAATAGAAGCACAAAATAGCTGTCATTAGCACAGTCAAACAAAAGCACGTTAAAACAAACACTGGTACAGTTGGTTATAATAAAAATTGTTTTTATTAAACCAGTCGTGTTCTCGTGATAAATGTGAGTCACTACAAGTACTAGACAGATATGATATTAGTTTCTACTCTAAAATTATTTCTTTTACTGACAACGTAATATGAAAAGTGATCAAAGTTGTGTCCGTCAATTGTAAACCTAAATTAAATTTGTTGCTTAATTGAAGTAGATCAGTATATCACCTCAGTAATATGACAATGAATAAAGCAGAAACAAAACTCACGGGTCGATCTAAACTAGATCACCATGGAAAACCTGGAAGCACTGGACGACCTTTTCGTCCTTGTGTGGGATCCCTCAGCAGGGTGAGTTCACGATCCTGCACCTAGGGGGCTCGAACTCGGGACCATCGGTCTCGCATACGAATGTTTAGCCTTTAGACCACTTAGCCGGCATCCAATAGTTCTAATGTCCAACTTCAATCGATCCATGATCATGCCCATCCCTTCATCCAGTGTCTGTGGTGGATAACTGTCTCTTACCCGACACTGACTGGACGCCACTGGTCACGCATGCAGGACCATAGATGCGCATCATTAAGGAGTCCCATACTAGGACGAAACAGCATTCCGGTGCTTTCAGGTTTTCATTGGTTGTCTAGCTTGAAGTGACTTGTCAATTCAACTGTTAAAATACTACGGTCTACACAAGTCCCTACACTAATAAGAAAGTTAAGTGAAAGTTTTCACTTGTTTTTAAAAGTGAACAAATCTATTGTCATTCAATGTTTGTAAGATTATATCCAAATATTTAAGTAGTATGAATAATATATGGTGGACTGCTATTATTATACAAAGGTTAGAAACCCAACTAGCCATATAGTTGATAATAAAACACTGAACTAGTTGTTCATTCAATGTGTACACTATATCTATTATCTTTGTGCAATATATCAACAGAATC